GAGCTTTTTTAGTGAAAAATTCACATCATTTTAACTAAAAATCTGTCTAGAAAATGTTTATTGGTTTAAGAATTTTTATATATTTGGACTAAAAATCACACAAAAACAATAAGAAAGAAAATAATTTTGCAGTGTATTTACCAACTGTCAATTGTATAAATCAGAAGCTTATTTTTTATTACCAAGTTCATGAAAAAGCATCTTGCTGCTGTTCCAGGCACTGCTGCTTCAATCACGATATCAATGATTCTGCAATATATTGATAGATCACAAGAAAACCAGCCACAATATATCACAATTTTGGTAAACGAAGGGGGGAAATGCATAAAAAATGTATGATGAATTTCTTTTATAAACACTTATTTATAGAATTGCAACAATGTAAACCAAGTGCACATCTGTCAAACAAGCTTAAAAATGCTGATGTGCAAAGATTAGTTTATGAGTGAAGAGAGCACATCTCTACCACAGCAGCAGAATCTCAATTTAGTGTAATATCCCTTTAAGAAAAAAACTGCCAAAATAGTAATTTATTGCATTCTGTAAACTTAAAACACTTATTACAACTTGACCAACTAATTTTATGGAAATATGGAAACATTTTATGCTTAGCCCTGGTTTATTTTTAATTAATAAAAATATGTATTCCCACAATTTTTTCAACTGATCAGAATGCTCTGAGAGGTGAGCACAGACTCCATAAGCACGTATGTTTTCAGCAGTGGAGAACATTAGTTATTTACTCATCTATTTAAGTTTTTTAATTCCCCTAATTTTTTTTTTGCCAAAATACCTTCTACAAGACTTTGACAAGGTCTGTAAGAGTCAAATAAACGCAGGGCCCTTCAAATTATATGTTTATGTCCTATTAATATCTTTATATATTTTGGCGGAGGTTAAAAGTTTGAGCACATAAGAAGTTGCACTGGCCGCGGGCAAGCGCGAGCGATATAGCGAACTGAAAGCGCGTCTGTTAGAAAGAAACTAGTGGCAAATTCGGGGGAGCTGGATGTCTGAAACACACAAATACATTGGTCCAGCTTGGACAGAAGAAAGTGTCTGTATGCCTGAGATATTCACCATTGCAATGGCTCATCTCAGTGGTTTACATGACGCTGGTGTAGGTCTAATGATCCGCCATTACGGGAAGCGTCACCTGGTGGCGGCTGGGTGTACTGTAGCTAAAGCGGTTATCTGCTGCAGTCAGTGTGGAAAACTGATTAATCAGATCTTTTGTATATTTAGGTAAATATCTTGGCGCCCGAGTATGTATCGCGGTCAGAAATAACACTATAAATGGCCATATATTTTGTCCCACCACTAATCCACAACTCAACAAACTAAAACGAAAGTCATACAATAATTTCAAGCACTCTTGGGGGCCCCCTGGTGGCCACGGGGCCCTAAGCAGCCGCTTAGTTCGCTTATGCCTTGGGCCGGCTCTGCCTAAATGTCATAAACTGGGTTAAACAAATGACTGTAAACACCTGTGATCACCTGTTTTTACTGACATGGCTAAAGTTAGGCGTGTCAGCAAAGTAAGATAAAGCCTGATAAAGCCATCATTGAAAAAAAAAAAAACAGTGATCCATTAGATCAGTGGTTCCCAACCTTTTTCTTTGGGGCCCCCCCCATGAACATATACAAACATTGGAGCCCCCCCACCATATAAATACACACCCACGCACACACATATGTACTGTATATATATATATATATATATATATATATATATATATATATATATATATATATGTGTGTGTGTGTGTGTGTGTGTGTGTGTGTGTGTGTGTTTGTGTAATATTAATATATAGTAATACGTATAGAAAATATTAATTAATCAGTTTTAACTTGTCTTGGCCTTCAATAAAACCAAAATTTAGGTAGGCTTTGTCATACTGTCTAATCTTTTTCTTCGCCTCTAAAGAATCAATGCATTTACGTTTGTCTGCCATTTTTGTTTTGATTTTGCCTTTACTACACGTTGACAAGCAGATTGCGCGAGTGAGCAAAATTTAAATAATTATTTAAAGTTATTTATTTTAATTATTTTCACTATTATGTTGGAATTTTAAGCATGTGGTTAGATTATTTAATTTGGTACTTAAAAACACATATATATATAGTAGGGCTGCTCGATTTTGGGAAAAATCATAATCTTGATTATTTTGGTCATAATTGTAATCACGATTATTCAAAACGATTGCCAGTTAAAGTCAAAATTATTAGCGCTCCTGAGATTTTTTTTTTTTTTATAAATATTTCCCAAATTAAGTTTAACAGAGCAAGGAATTTAAACAATATTTCCTACAATATTTTTTCTTCTATTTGTTTTATTTTAGCTAGAATAAAGACAAGAATAAAGCAAGATATATTTTTGATTGTCTGCAGAATAAACTACTGTTAAATGACTTGCCTTATTACTCTAATTAAGCCTTTGAACTGCACTTTAATCTGAATGCTTGTATTTTGAAAAAAATATCTAGTAAAATATTATGTGCTGTCATCATAGCAAAGACAAAAAGAAATCAGTAATTAGAAATGAGATATCAAAACTATTATGTTCAGAAATAAGTTAATAAAATATTCTTTCCATGAAACAGAAATTGGGCAGGAAAAGGTTTGCTAATATTCAAGAGGGCTAATAATTCTGACTTCAACTGTATGCATACAGTTATTTTCCACCCTGCAAAGGAAAGAGAAATAAATACAATAGAATAAAAATATGAAACAAACTGTGCTTTAAGCATCTTCACTGTAAGAAAAACACTTTAGCTACAGCAGTCCTTCAGTCAAGAGCAGCGAGGGTTTTCTCGTTATGTTTGTTTAATAATGATAAAAACAGCCGGCAGAAGGATTATAGCGCACTATCTCTTTATTGGTTTCTCTTTCACGTCTTTTGATCCTCAACTCGTTTGTTTATTACACAAATGAGGGTTAATGTACATAATCACTAAACACCGCGTTTTGACACCTATTTGACCATTAAAGCGCTCACGTTAAGATGACTTTAGATGTCTGCGCTCCTCTGCTCGTCTCAGTGTGTGAATGAGAGTGAATGCAGACCGGCCGCATGCTTCTGACTGCGTGATCGTGCTGCACACACACATAAGCTCTTTCGCGCTTTTAAGAGCAACACGTGTACAACTGGAACTTCTGTTGGAACTGAAAATATGATGCAATAATCATTTATCTCGATTAATGCTTTTTTATAATAGTTTGAAACCGAAATCTAAATCGGATTTTTGATTAATTGCAAAGCCCTTTAAAATAGTGGAGCACTTTTATGCCTTTTTCTACCTCAATACTTATCCTCTCCCGCGCCCCCCCTGTGAACTCTGGCGCCCCCCTTAGGGGGGCGCGGACCCCAGGTTGGGAACCACTGCATTAGATCATGTTTAAAAAGTATAGTTTACTGCTGAAAAACTTATTTTATCATCGTAAAATAACACAAAAACCAAACATTGATTGATACTTCAATTGATACTCCTCTTGAAGCTCCGACGGTCTGCTTAGAAAAGCTGTCAATCTCAACTGTCAATCACGATGACACGCCCCGTTTTTATAGCATTACTGGCTAAAATACTCTTTACAAAATTGAACATCTGAACTTATATCAGCTTGTTAACCAGTGCCTCAACTGACCAATTGAGCAACTGACCAAAGTGTCATTAATTTTATTTTATTTTTTATTTGAGCCCCAACTCAAAGACTATTCTCGTTTATTAACACGGAAGAGGCGAGCTTTATGACTTGTAATGCAGCCAGATCCCAGGAATCGATCTAACGGCCGGAGCGTTTTTATATATTGTATTTGCTGAACATTTACAATCAAATGTATAACAAATCTTACAAAATAAGATTAACAATTCACAATTAAAACCTGTATGCAAAATAACATAAAGAAAGAATGAAAGAGAGAAAAAAATTAAAGAGCGGGTAATAAGAATCAACAGTTTTTGGAGCATAGTTCTGGTTGCTTTACGACTTAAAAGTCCTTTAAGAGTTTCAAAATAAATTGTTAAATCAGCCCTGAAATGGGAGATGTTAGGCTTCCTCTCCGACCATTTACACTTGTATTTGAAACTTGCCTAATAATATCAAAATATTTCCCATAAACAGGATATTATCTATATCTTTTTATCTACATAAAATATGGCATCTCTTTTCTTTATATAAATTCTATGACCACTCAGTATATTAAAAAAGAAAATGAACATCAAACCAGAAATATTTAACATACAAGAAAAACAAATACATATTCTGCAAAAAATTCAGAAAATTAAACTTTATTTCTCTTGAGAAACTGGTTATCTGGATATATTTTATGTATAATTTTTAAGTAGATTTCACTGACTTCCTGCGTGTGGCACACTTAGGTTAAAACATTGGATTAAACAGTGAGGTATAGACGCCATCTAGAGGAGAAAGTGACAATCACATCCCGCATTTAAAAAACTGATTCCATTTTAGTTACTATTAAAAAAAGATAAATAACCCTCCAATAGCCCTCCTTTGCATTTTGCAAGACTTAATTGTATAACAATATTTTCCATACCCTTTTTACTTCCGTTATCCCTACATTCTGTTGTGTTGAGGCAACACTTCTAAAGTTTTTTGTGTGATTTGAATCAAACACCTTAAAATTACCTCTTAAATAATGTCCGTTTTAAATAAAATGAAAACCATTTATGTTATTGAAAAGGTACATAATAGGTAATGTAAATGATGTAATAATATTTCTAAATATTTTTGCATAAACAAATTAAAGGGCACACATAATATTATTTTTCTTTAAATTTGACATTCATGCTTTATGTTCATGTAAATAGTGTAAATGAAGAGGATATTTTAAGTACTCACACACGCAAACACATATCCTGCGATTCCACAACACAATGTTGCGTATAAATGAGCAGTTAAGTGACATACAGACAGTGAATTTTATGTCATAGATTCACAGTTAAAAACAAACACATGAAACTAGACAGACCAGACAATACATCTTAAAAATTTATTTCTGCAGGTCATTTTAGAAAAACACAATATTTCTTCACAGAAGATGCTGACCACTTCACAAAAATGTGAAAAAAAGAAGAAGAAAAAACTATACTCCTAAAAACCATGTATGTATTAAAAAAACAAAACCCTGATTGTTCTGTTTTGGCGATCATCAAATGCATCTGAAAATCTAAAAATAAAAGAGTACAACAGAAACTTAAGAAAAAGAATTTAAAAAGGGCCAACAGATTAAAAAACTTGACAAAATCATTATTGTAAGAACTGAACAGAGCAAACTTTTTTTTCCACAAATGAACAAATAAAATTTAAATAAAAACATTTCCACTTTTATTCATGTTCTGAGCTTTTTCCTTATTATCTCTTTACCAATACTGTTAAGCATCTAAACAATATTCTTTGACTTTACTGCTAAATAAAGTATTGTATAATAATGTCATAAAAAATAATAAAATGCTTACAAAATATCCAGCATTTCGTTTTTTGCATCATTTCAGACTAACTGAAAGCAATATGATTGCTTATGATTATTAATCATGAAATACTTTGCATCTTCTCTCATTGTTAAAGCGAACACTTTTGTTGCATGTAATTTACTTTCTCATAAAATAATATGAGACCGAACAAATAAAAGGAAAATCATGATGATGAAACTCATGCTCTCTGAACCTGATTAAGTGCTTAATAAACAAATCGACTCTACACCAAAGTAAATTGCTAAGTTCACCCCAAAAAATGTACTCATCATTTACTTATCCTCAAACCTTTGAGTTTCATTTGATCGGTTGAACACAAAAGAAGATATTTTGAAGAATGTTGAAAACTAGTAGCCATTGAGAGTTAATTTGGAATTAGCAATTGAAGCTATACATATAGGAAAATAATTGAGTCGTTAATGTCTATAAAAAAAAAGAACTTGCATTGAATTGATAAACATTTTTAGATCTTCAGAAATGTTTTTATATTGATAGTTATCCAGGATTTCAGTATACTTCTAAACATGGATCTTGAATACACTGTAAAATCAACACAATCAATTTGTGTTGGGACAACATAAAGGAATTAACTATTATTATTTTGACAGATTTACGTGGATTTAACATAAACAATTTGGTTGTCTGCAAAAAACCCTTAAGAATTTAGTGGTTTCAGCTCATACGTCTGAAACAAGTTATTTGAACAAACAACCAACGTCATTTTAATTAATCACTATCAGAAATAAAGGTATGACAGGTGTCATTGGGTGCTACCTTTCCAAAAGAAACACATTTGTTCTTGAAGGGTCCATATTGGCACCTCAAAAGCATATATTTGCACCCAAAGTTTTAAAAGGTACTTTTTAGGTACTAATATGGATCCTTTAGGTACAAATGTGTTGCATTTGAAAAGGTACCACACAGTTACAGCTCTCGTACTTTTGTTTCTGAGTGTAAGTAGCAGTTTGCAACGTTCTTCAAAGTACCTTTTTTCAACAAACTGTATAAAGCAGTTTATTGACTTTATTTAAAAAAAAATGAATAGATCCATTGCCTATAATTTGTTAAGTAAACCAAACATTTGCATAATTACATAAAAATTGTAGCTTATAATGTTTACTGGACTTTTTAAAGTAAAGTAACTAATCACTTTTAATAAATAAAATCGCATACAGGTTTTCAACCAGGAAAAGTAAATGACAGTATATAAATATATATTGGGTGAACTATCCTTTTAATAACCAATCAGAAGTGTCCACACTTGGAGATGCTTGTTAAAAAACAAAACGAACAAACAAACAATAAACAGGAAGTAATTCTTTCTCTTCCGTGTGTTCTCCAGGATTTTTCCAGAGTTCTGCCAGCCTCCATAAAGTCAATGCAGCAAAATAACTTCAACTGCTGCGATCTGAATTTGGCTTCAACTTGTTGTTTCTTCTTCTTATGAAGCAAATATGTCCAAAAAAAAGGAAAAGTTGTATTTTTCCACCTTCGATCCTCATGTCAGTGATCAGACGTGTGTTCCTGCTCTTTCTCTCAGTAGTAAAAGCGCTTCTCATGGTCTTTGGCTCAGTTTGTTGTACAGTAGCACAGAAGGGAAGCAGACGGCTTGTGAAGAAATGTCAGACTCTTAAGGACAGATGGATTAAAAAGCAAAGGAACAGTAAGATCAGCTCTTTGAAGGTAGATTAGTGTCACTCTGTTACAGAGTGAACTTTTATCAGAGCAGACAGCGGCAAATGGAGATTAGAGGAGGACAAACATGATGGAGCACAGGAGAAACTTAGAGAAAGAGAGTCTGTGATCCCGCAAACATTTACTGTAACAGATGCAGATGATTATGGAAGAATGTATGCTGCAACCTGTGTTTAGCTTTTATGCTTTGAGAAGAAATGTTAAAGAAAATAAGACAATAAGAAGGGGATGAGGAGAAGAAAAAGTTGTGTCAAGGTCATATTTTGGACAGTGGTGCTGTGTGATGGTGTTTCTGTGGCTGGAAAAGTAAAAAGAAAGAAAATAAATAAATATAATGTACACACACGCACGCACGCATGCATGCACGCACGCACACACAGAGTTGGGATACATAATATCACAATTATATATTTGAGTTTTTGTAATCTCATTTGTTCAGATTATTCAGGAATCAGTTTTTATATCTACTAGCCCAAATTCTGTATACAATTAAACAAAATATTCAAAATTATATATGCACAAATCATCACATTTTAAAATAATAATAATATCATAATTATTTATAGAAACAACCCTACTATGGTTACTGCCAAAAAAAGTTATTCATTAAATAAAGGGTATTTGTGTTTTGAATGTAGACTGTTTATTTCAAATAACCATGTGGATGTTTTATATAAAAGCAGCACAAAAAAATATACTTTTAATTATATAAATATAATGTACATAAAGTAAAATTAGATACATAAAAAGAACACATATGACCTATTTTAAAGCTGTTTTTATATTAAAAGGTTTTATTACCATCTTTAATTTCATTAATAACAATTAGATGCTACTATTTGATATGTATTTTATATATGTATATACACACACACTACCAATCAAAAGTTTGAGGTAAGTTTTATTTATTTTAAGTTTTTTGAAAGAAAATTATTCTGTTCATCAAGCCGGCATTTGTTAAATGTAAAAACTGCTTTCTTATTGTATGTAGCTTCAAATTAAATGATTATTGCTTTTATTACTACTACCATTATTATTATTAATAATAATAATAATAATAATAATAATAATAATAATAATAATAATAATAATAAATATTAGAGTGATTTCTGAAAGATCATGTAACTCTGACGACTGAAGTAATGTGGCTGAAAATTCAACATTAAAATCACTGGAAAAATATAATTAAATTAAAATGATAAACTACTGCTGATTTTATAGTGCAAAAACATTTCACAATTTTACAATTTGTACTGTATTTTTATGAAATAAGTGCAGCTTTGGTGAGCAGGATACGCTTATTCTAAAACATTTAAAAATCCATATGACCCCAAACTTTTGACCAATAGTGTACTGTTTATACAGTTGAAGTCAGAATTATTAGCCCCCCTGAATTATTAGACTCCCTGTTTACTTTTTCCTTAATTTCTGTTTAACAGAGAGCAGATTTTTTCAACACATTTCTAAACATAATAGTTTTAATAACTCATTTCTAATAACCATGCCATGATGACAGTACATGAATTTTTAATTGATACTTTTTAAGACATTTAAAACCTTAACTAGGTTAATTAGGTTAACTAGGCACGATAGAGTAATTAGGCAAGTTATTGTATAATGATGGTTTGTTCTGTAGACTTTTGAAAAAAAATAAAAAAAAGCTTAAAGGGGCTAATAATTTTTACCTTAAAATTAATGTTTTTTTAAAAATTAAAAACTGCTTTTATTCTAGCTGAAATAAAACAAATAAGACTTTCTTCAATTGAAAAAATATCATCAGACAAACTGTGAAAATTCCCTTGCTCCCTTAAACATAATTACAAAAAAAAAAAAAAAAAAACTCAAAGGGGGGCTAAAAATTCTGACTACAACTGTATATTTATAAAATTGTTATTAATAAAATTAATTAGTATATATTAAATATTATATACACAATATTTTCAATAATATTTCCAATAAAGTCTTAGTTTGGCTGTAACAAAAGCATATTTATGGTCAATATTTTTAGAAGTTTTTATTTAGTTTTCAGCTGGCCACATGCAGAACAAACCAAGCCTAATGATTTGCCTAGTTTACCCAATTAGTTAATCCTTTGCATCATACTTTTAGCTGAAATGATGAGTTAAAATTTTATTATGCACTGTATTGATACCAAAAATAGAAGAAATTAGTTATTAGAAACTATTTATTAAATCTCCATAAAATAGCATTTTGGAAATATTTAAAAAAGTATTTAAAATTCACAGAAGAACTAATAACATGTACAGTTAAAGTCAGAATTATTAGCCCCCTTTGAACTTTTTTTCTGTTTTCATCACCCAAATGTTTAACAGAGCAAGGACATTTTCACAGTATATCCAATAATATTTTTTATCTTCTGGAGAAAATTTGTTTCATTTCAGCTAGAATGAAAACATTATTAGGCCCTTTAAGCTATATTTGTTTTCGATAGTCTACAGAACAAACCATCATTATACAATAACTTGCTTAATTATCCTAACCTGCCTAGTTAACCTAATTAACCTGGTTAAGTCTTTAAATATCACTTTAGGCTGTATAGAAGTGTCTTGAAAAATATCTATTTAAATATTATTTACTGTCATTATGGCAAAGTTAAAATAAATCAGTTATTTGAGATGAGTTATTAAAACTATAATGTTTAGAAATGTGTTGAAAAAATCTTCTCCCTGTTAAATTGGGGTAATAATTCAAGGGGGCTAATAATACTGATTTCAACAATATACAGATTTAAAAAATGCATAATGTTGAATTAAGGGAAGTGTATGGCAGTAAACACCTACCTTCTTGTCTAGATGATCCAGCTGTTGCTACAGGATATAAAGAGAGGGAGAAAGAGAGAGAGAGATGTGAAATGCAAGCTTTATTTTTTCTCCATCTACTTTTTTATTTTTGAAAAGAACTACAAACTTGGAGCATCATTCGTGAGAACAAATGAGGAGAGAAACGCACACAGAGAGCTCTTCACCATTACTCAGGCAGAAACACACTGAAAAATTACAAACGGCTGCGCAAACCCAAAATACATCCTTAATGCAAATTCTCTTAAAGGTCGAGCACAGAAAGATGGCGGAGAAGGAAAAAAAATGAAGGTGGAAGGAGATGAAAGATTCTTCAAGAGACAAAAAAAAAAAAAAAACAGACAAAAAAAAGGAAAGATTTAGAGGGTGGGAAATAAGAGCAAGAGATACAAGACTGAACAGAGAAGGGCAACAAAAGCCAACAAAGATGGAGTGATGGAGCGAAACACGGGAGAAGACAAGGAAGAGAAAAGAAGAGTGTGAGAAAAGCAGAGGGAGAACAGAGAGTTTGAAAGAAGGTCAGATGGGGGAAAGAAAGAAAGAAAGAATTTGTGTCTGAGTGTGGTTCTCTCAACAGGAGCTCAGACTGACAAACAACAGAGAAAAGATGAATGGAGAGACGGAGAGATCCAGAAATAATGCAGATAGTACTGTAGTAGACCATACAAGCGGAGAAATGTGTTGGGTTAAACTGTGCCAGAAAGATTAAAACAGTGAAGCTCTCACACTATCACAACCTTTAAGACGATTTCATGAAGTCGATTGGGAACTAAATGAAGTTACATTTATTGACATACTTCCCCAATTGATTTATTAATAACCCCTTTTTAAATGTGTATATATTTTATTACAATTTTTCTAAAATGCTATGTTTAAATTTGCAAACAAGGTACTGTTTTAATTAAACATGCTATTTTACATATACAAAATAATGGGAATACTGGAAGAAGAGCAGGTTCAAATTAGGTATAATTTTGTCTTTTTAACAATTAATTATTCAGCAATACTTTAAAAAGCAAGAAAAAATCTTTCACATTTTACTTTTGTAGAGTAAAATCTTAAAATCTTCTTAAAAAGTCTGTTCATTTTGATTTCATGTAACAGAAGATTCCATGTCTGTACACGGTTTAATATTTAGATTTTTGTTTTATTTTTTTCCTTTATACTTTTATAATACTTTTAGATTATTGAAAGTATTTTTAAGTACACTTATTCCACTTCATGTGCTCTTACAAAAATGAGTGTGGAATAATTATAAAATATTTAGGAAAATCATGTCATGTCAATTGTCCACAGACTAATTGGCTTATCGTAAAAAAAAAATTAGCGAGCACACGTTAGTTCAAGTTAGTTTAACCCATCATTAACACCATGACCTTCCTTTGAGAAAAAGCACTGCCTTTTTGTCAAATTAAATCACTAAGAAATGACAGAAAAGGGCTGCAGGTTGAAAAACACTGCCTTGTGAATGAACAACCACAAACCAAAATCAAAGCACAGTAAATTGTAAGTAAAGTTTTTAAATAATTCATTTTTTTTTTTACAGTCAAACATATAATTGTTTTACAATGTTACAAAATCTCTCTTTTGCTCCTCTGTCTGTGTTCTGTTCCTTGTGATTATTAATTATATATTACATATATATTACATATTTATTACAATTTAAAATAACTGCTTTCTTATTGTATAATTTTTAAATGAAATTATAACTTCAGTCATTTTTGCTTTTATTACTATTACTATAATAATAATATTAGAGAGATTTCTGAAGGATCACGAGACTGAAGACTGAAAATTGTAAAAAAAAAAAAAAAAACATTTCATAATTTTACAATTACTGTATTTTTGATCAAATAAATGCAGACTTGGTGAGCAGGAGAAGCTTATTTTAAGACATTTAAAAATCCTACTGACCCCAAACGTTTGACTTTCGGTAGTGTAATTGTTTTCTCCTTTCTTAATTTTAATCCCTGAAACAGGATTACTGGAAAATCTATTTAAATATCATGGAAAAATATTCACGTGTAGTTAGGAGTTGCATCTATAAAAATTTTTGCATAATTATTTTTAAACATTAACTAAAAAAAAAAATAAATAAATAAAAAAGAAAGAAAGAAACAGGGAAAAACAAAACAGAATCAAACCTTAGGTAATGTATTTAAAAATGCATTCATGAATAACAACTCAAAAATTGAATTAATCACAAACGTGTGTCATTTTTAATTGCACTTTGTCCAGATGTATCTTTCCACAAATAAATGAGTACTAAATGAGCTTGTAAATTGAGTACTAAACTAGTTTAAATTACAAATTCCTAAAAGTGCAAGGATAAAACTTGCTGGAGTTTAAGAAGAATCTATAAATTTGATTAACATCAGTTTAAAAACATATGACCATGATAAAAAACTAAACAGTGATTTTGCAAGACTAAGCAAAATCTTTAAATGTAAAAATAAAACAAGCAAACTTATGTTAAATACAAAATAATCATTAATTTGAAAAGAAAACGATAAGTTCAACCATAGTTAAACAATCCAAACATAAAAACAGACACGTAATAAAACTACACCAAAAAAAAATTGTTCATAAATGATTCCTTGGATTTACTCTTTTGAGTTAAGTGGTTGTAAACAATTTATGTGGGCTGAATTTAAACAAACAATTTAAGTTGAACAATACTCAAATTAGTTAGTTTGTTTAAATTTAACACATACATTATTTGCTACAACTTTGCAGACATAATTTTTTCAGTGTAGAATGAATATTTCCTTTATTAAATAATTAACTTAAAAAACATAAGGTATTGTGACAAAAACATTTTATGCTCTTGTTTTTCAACAGAACAAGCACCTGATGTTTAAACAGAAGAAAAAAAATGAGAAATGTATTCTTGAAAAATAAAATTTAGACCAAAAAAATAAATAAATAAATAAATAAATAAAACAAAATAAAATCTTCTTCTTTTTAAAATATATTTAAATGTTTGCAACAACAAAATGGCAGTATTTGTTTTTGAGCACAAAATGGCTGCAGTTGCGCTTTACTTGCATAAAACATGGCAGCCATGATCTGATGCAGAGAACGACTGGAAGAGGACATGAGAGACGTACAAGACAAGAGGGAGAAAAAGACCAAAGCTTCTCTCATTTCTGCTATTTTACACATTTTTTGCTCTGACTTAACGAAAAAAACGAACCGACTTTCCAAAAAAAAAAAAAAAAAAGCCGCAACAAGATTTTTTTCGCTTAAATATATATTTTTTTCGAAAGATTGCGCACTGCAGGGAAAAACCACACTGAAATAGTTTTTTTCTTTGCACTTTGGAAAAACGCTCTGCTGAATGACAAAACTAACAAGCCGAGAGAGGTGAATAAAAGGGGGAGGACGAGGCATCCGCTGAGGTGGGCAAAAGGAAAAAGCGGACAGATTTTAAGGTTTTAAAACAATTAAAAGGATGGAGAAATGGACAGAAACTGGAAAAGGAAATGGTGTGCGCACAGCAGGAGCGAGTGAGTTAAAAAGAGGAGAAAAAGACAGGGATCAATTAGAGAGAAAGTAGAACTGACTGAAATGGCTTTTCACAGCGGGAGAGAGAAGGACTGAGTAAGACGCTGAATGAGGGAGAGGAGGAAAAAAACAACAGCAGAATTAATGTTTTGACAAGCAGCCCTGAGGAAGTGAATGGGATGAAAGACGAGGGCAGTCCAGAGACATTTCCCCAAACGCTGCTTCCTTAAGGCGCCCCGAAAATTGGGCTGGTTTGTGATTTTGATCGCTCAAAATTCAGCTTTAGAGAGCGTAAATCGTTTTTTATGATTCATTTGGAGGGGAAGAATTTAACTGCAACACACCAACAGATTTCGGGGATCCTGCTGCTGTTCTGGGGAACCATTTCACTGTTACACTACAAAAACAGCACAATCTATCACAGATTGTCCATCTTCATCTGAATCGGTCTACTGCGTTTTAAATTATGGATGGAAATTCTGCTGCAGGGAACTTCCAGTCAAAATAATTAAATAAATAAATAAAAATAAATCATGATTAGACTACAAATAAACTACATCTATAAATGCAGGTGAATGTTTTCCATCATATTGTATTTTTATTAGTAAACAAAGTAAGTTAAAGCTTTGTATTCTTTTATATTTTATTGGTTTAACAAGAATATCTGTGGTAAATGTTGTTTCTACACTCCGTATCTTTCTGTAATCTGTATTTTTGTCTATTCGTGGTTTTGCTTTTTCTTTATCCAAATCACTCACATCTGTCTCTTGCTTTTTCCACACAGCACTTTAAAATGTAATCGTTCCCCCTTTTTACTTTTAATGTCACAAGCAGTTTACTGAACCATTTGTGTTGAAATGAGGGAAAGCACTTTAAAATATCCATCAGTGTTGTAGTTTATGATGCAATTGTTTTATTAGCGCAACATGCACATAACGTTATATAGACTATACAGTAATATTTATCATGTCCATTATAAAGAGTGCATTAGTGTCTGCCCACTTTTACAGCAGCGTTCTTTCCGGAAGTATTTTAACCATTTATTTTTCCCATAAGGTTATTTCAAAAAGTCTTTGTTACAGCTTAAGCTATAAACCAAACCAACCAGCTACGAGAAGAACCACAACATTCGAAACCCAGAATCAAAAAAGTAGTACATAAATAAAAAATACTAGTTGCAAAGAATGTTGCTGTGTCCCAGTTTGCCTGTTTAGATGTGTCACCGTTTTGTCGATCATCAATTATGTCTCTACATTTCTTTTACATTGTATTTCCTACCATATTTGAGAGAAGTAGTGGGTTAATCTGCCATTCATAGTCTTTCATGCAACAAAATCTCATATACCCCCCCCACCCCAAAACACTTCTCCAAATATAACCACTTATATAAAACATGTAATGTACGGCCACCATAATGTACATTCATTGGTATTTATTACAAAAATATATTTGTAAAATAATTCTAAAAACAACTATAAAATAACAATAAGCCAATGCTATTT